CACAGCCCAGGGAACAGTATGCAGTACTAGTTTTGGGAATGGCAGCTTTAATCAGGGAATACACCTCCTTTTTGCACCTTTAAATGTTATTAAATACTGTTGGGTCCCAAATGTATTCACGCAGTCATAAAGTAACTTTTAGAGACTGTGTTTGTTGAATATGGCTTCACATATATGCAACGCTCTGTATACTAATACTGTGTCCGCTGCCCCCCAGTGGCTTCTTCAGGGGAATATGAATGTGGTGGTCCTGGACAGTGTGAGCTTAGGTGAAAGCTTGACAGTGTTGCCAAAATTGGGGGAGCTTTACATGCCAGTGTTCTACTAATTGTGGCAGAGCCTCTAGAAACATGGCTGGAAAGACACATTTCACATACAGTGGAGCAAAAAAGTATTTAGTCAGCCACCAATTGTGCAAGTTCTCCCACTTAAAAAGATGAGGGAGGCCTGTAATTGGCATCATAGGTAGACCTCAACTATGAGAGACAAAATGAGAAAACAAATCCAGACAAATCACATTGGCTGATTTGGAACGAATTTATTTGCAAATTATGGTGGAAAATAAGTATTTGGTCACCTACAAACAAGCAAGAGTTCTGGCTCTCACAGACCTGTACCTTCTTCTTTAAAGGTGCCCATACACCTTACGATTATCGTACGATAATCGTATGCGATCGACTTTTCGTACGACAATCGTAACGTGTGAATAGAGTGCCCGACCGATAGTACTGTACAATCGTACGACTTTTGACGGTCAAGCATGTTTGAAAACTTTGGTTGATCGTACGATGTTCGCATGGTTGGTGGCGTTTCCGTCCGTCAAAAGTCGTACGATTAACACTGCGCATGCGCAAACGAAAATAATTGCGGTCAATTACCGCAAGTCGTCCAGGTGTTTTTTTCTAACTACCGCTGATTGAACCTTGCGATAATCGGGGCAGGATGGGGCCGTCGTCCGAAAATCGTACGACGGTTCGATCATCGGACGAAAAGTTTCGTCCGATAATCGTAAGGTGTATGGGCACCTTAAGAGGCTCCTCTGTCCTGCACTCATTACCTGTATCAATGGCACCTGTTTGAACTTGTTATCAGTATAAAAGACACCTGTCCACAACCTCAAACAGTCACACTCCAAACTCCACTATGGTGAAGACCAAAGAGCTGTCGAAGGACACCAGAAACAAAATTGTAGACCTGCACCAGGCTGGGAAGACTGAATCTGCAATAGGCAAGCAGCTTGGTGTGAACAAATCAACTGTGGGAGCAATAATTAGAAAATGGAAGACATACAAGACCACTGATAATCTCCCTCGATCTGGGGCTCCATGCAAGATCTCACCCCGTGGGGTCAAAATGATCACAAGAACGGTGAGCAAAAATCCTTTTTTGCCCCACTGTATGTGTTGGACACAATATTATATACTATATAGAATACATGGAAGAGCATTTATCAAAACCAGAGCAGACGAAATCTGGAGCAGCTGTGCATAACAACCAATCAACGTCCCTCTTTCATTTTCAAATCTTAACCGAAGTGAAGAGGGATGCTGATTGGTTGTCATGCACAGCTGCTTTAGATTTTGTCTGCTCCAGTTTTGATAAATTTCCCCCATGGCATCATACCAAAAGCAAATTATACTTAAGCAAGTAGCTTTGATCCCATCCCCCTCTCTTCCTACTCATACTCTGTCATCAATGTACAGTTACCAAGATTCAATGGGGGATAGTGGAGTTGATGAAACAGCATTATATACATCTCTGTATGCCTGATTACATATACACGCCATTGATGCAATGTGATGTGGGACTGTATCAAGGATAATCTACGTAAATCAGCCACTTTGTTGTGTTTTATAACGGCAATATATACATCTTCTTTTGCCTGATTACATATACACGCCATTGGTCTGTGGGACTGTACCAAGGGTAATCTACGAAAACCAGTCACTTCGGTGTGATTTGCTCATTCTACAATAGTGTTACAATAACAAGCACATCTTTGCTGATGTTCATCTTCATCAATATGAAGAGAATTTATTTGTAACTATACATTGTAACAAACATCTTTTGCAAAGGAGCAACAACTACTCAGTTTGTGTGCGATTCAACTGGAAAATATCTATGTGAGATTATATTTGAATTTCCTGATAACTATCCAATACATTTTTGCCTATTGTTCTAGTGGAAGCGGCTTTGGATCTGAGCACATGGACGAACTTTTCAATATAATAGTCCCCAATCGATTGTATCAATTTATATCACACATGATGTACAGTACCATGGAACCACACATGCTTTTTCTCATGTTATTTTAGGTTTTATTATGGGGTGTTGCAATATATGATTTCATATTGGTGTTACTGTTATTGTTAAATGTTTATTATTTATATATATATATATATA